CAACTTTTGGAATTGTTGGGCAGAAAATGACATCTTTGCAACACAGGTCACAAGGTGACCCAGAGGATCCTCATGATGAACATTATCTATTAGCTACCCAAAGTAAACAAGAGCAGGTGTGTTAATGTTTAGTTTTCACAGAAAACTACCGTTTACCTAGAAAAAAGAAAAGGAGTACTTGTGGCACCTTAGAGACTAACAAACTTATTTGAGCATAAGCTTTCGTGAGCTACAGCTCACTTCATTGGATGCATTCAGTGGAAAATACAGTGGGGAGATTTATATACATAGAGAACATGAAGCAATGGGTGTTACCATACACACTGTAACGAGAGTGATCAGGTAAGGTGAGCAATAACCAGCAGGAGAGCTGGGGAGAAAAAACCTTTTGTAGTGATAATCAAGGTGGGCCATTTCCAGCAGTTGACAAGAACATCTGAGGAACAGTGCGTGGGGGGGGGGGGGGAAGGGAGGGGAATAAACATAATTACTACCTGTGTGTGTTTCACTCACCATTGAAAAGCAGCCATCTCTTAAGCTGAGAGATGGCAGCTGTTCTGTGTCCAAAGCATTAAAGAACAGGTTTTAGGCAGGGAAGTGAAGAATAACTTGTCCACTAGAAACAACAGAGGCAGTTTACATAGGCCAAAATGTAATCGCCCATCTTAGAATTTACCCAGAACACTGAAGCTAACACAGTTTTGCAGAAATTGCCATGGAGTTTTCACCAACTACACCTAGTCAGGATCTCTGCCTCATCTCATCTGAAAGGCAGCACCTTTAGCATGCTTTGTAATAATTGTAGAAGGTTAATTTTGTAATTATGTGCTAAATGTCACTCTTGGCCTGAGTAGTGTCTCATTCAGCACGTTTTTGTAGTAAATGAAATCTCTCATAATTAGCATTTTTTTTCCACAAAGACTTATTAAAAAAACCTGTTTACAGTGAATTATAAATAATTTTAAATAATTATACAGCACTTGGAGCACTTCATAAATATTAAGTAATGGGAATAATTAAAAATGTACACAAATCCTTTAACTACTATAAAACTTATGGGCTAAAAAAAATTAACTGATTTGTAACAGGCAAATGTATAGGATTTTGATTCAATTTAAGGCGAATCTACAGAGTTTTTGTACTGTTAAAACTATATGGGTTTAGAAAATGTAGTGAGAATAATGGCTTGTCTACACTTGAAACGCTACAGCGGCATAGCAGCAGCACTGCAGTATAGACACTGTCTACGCTAACGGGAGGGGTTCTCCTGTCAGTGTAGGTAATCCACCTTCCTGAGAGGCGTTAGCGAGGTCAACAGGAGAATTCATCCATCAACCAGGCACTGTCTACATGGGGCCTTAGGTCTGTTTAACTATGTCACATAGCGACCTAGTTTTCTAGTGTAGACCAGGTCTAAATTAAACTGATATAAGCACCTCTTATACAAGTATAACTGTATCCACACTAAGGGGTTATACTGTTTTAACTATGTGTAGACAAGCCCATAGATAAAACTTCTGTATTTGTGGAAACTACGTTATGACTTTATGCTATGATACCCATTTGAAATGTTTGATGGACTTCGAAAATTATTTTTTTTAAAAGTCGTGGTTTAGAATAATATTTGTATGGGGTGGAAATGCAACATTCAACAGTTCTTTTCAGCAAGCTAAAGAGAATCAAAAGAACAATTAGTGCTATATTATTTGTCATTAGAACGCTGTTCCATGCCAAAACAACCTGCGAGGATTTGAAATGAATTTTTTTAATTAATAAAATTAACTTACCAGTTTATTATTTTGTTTTTAAGTCTGCAAAAGCTACGGCTGATAGGAAGTCCATGTCCAAGCCTGGTGGATTTGAGGGAGACTTGCGTGGCCAGTCCTCAGACATTTCAGAGAGGATGTATCCACAAGAAGTGGAACTGGGATCCTCTCAGAGTGATTGTATAATAGCTGGAAATGAATCTGAGGAACTCCTAGCAGCACACATGTCCAGGAAAACCGCTATATCCCAGTTTGAAGGCAAAGCACTAGGCCTTGACAAAGCCATTCTTCATAGTATTGACTGCTGTGGTAAGAACTATATTTGCATAATACTGTCATTAGAGCCCAATCACTTGGTCAGGATTCATATCAAATTCCAACATCTTTCATTACCTTACAGAAACTAGAATTCTCTACTTTAGCTCTGTTGTCTAGAAAATAAAGAATTCATCCATCTAGTCTAGTCATGTCTTCTAGAAAATAAAGTGCTGTACGGTCTCTCATTTCCAGTGCTTTATGAAAGCCCATTTTTGTTAAATATCTTCATGCTTTTAGTAACTGAGAAATGTCTGCTTCTGCAATAACTTTCACTCATCCTAACTACTTTGACTTTTATGCAGTTCTTCATAATCCAAGTTTAGGTAGTATTAGCGATTCATTTATTTTTATTTAAAATTATATATCATATCATTCCAGCATCTGATGATACCAAAAAGAAGATGTATAGTTCTATCCTAGTAGTGGGAGGAGGTCTGATGTTTCATAAAGCTCAGGAATTTCTTCAGCACCGAATTCTCAACAAAATGCCTCCTTCTTTCAGAAGAGTTGTTGAAAATGTAGAAGTCATTACAAGACCTAAGGTATGATGTTAATGAAGCTGAATTAATGAACTATTCATAGACTATTTGGAATCTAAAGGTTTAAAAATCTATTATTTCATAACTATCACAGTTTAGTTACATTCTTATGGGAGACCTGAGATCAGATTGTTTTTCAGATCACTATACTATGAGCTACCACTACAGATATATGTATCTGGAGGTAGAATGGTTAGTTATAGTATCCTTACAATTGATAGATTAGTGCTAATTGCTTCTTTCAGAATAAGAAACATAACCAACAGCTAGTAAAGTTAGTTTTAGGAAAAGGGACTTGGAGTGGCCATGAGAAATACGGTAAAAGATAACTAATCCTGTCTGCTTGTCAGTAACATAAGTTAACATTAGCAAAGAAGGAAGAGTAAGAAATATAAGAGGATGCATAGTATTGTGTGTAAATAATATTTGGCATTAATCAGCTAAATTTCTAAAACAAACTCTAAGTATTCCCTTTTTCATTATTTTTACTAGCGAGGGTTGATTTTCCTTGTTGACACACTGTAAAATCAGTGACTTCCAAGTTCCTTAATAAATTAAACATGGTGAAAATATTTAGGTTTATCACACAAAAACATTTGGGGAAATTGTTGGCCTGATTTTTCAAAGGTGCTGAGTGAACTTCCATTACATTAAATGGGAGCTGCCCGTATTTAGTACCTCTGAAAATCAGATCCGTAATTTTTGTGCAATCCTTGTTCTTAATTTTAGGATATGGATCCACGCTTGATTGCATGGAAAGGAGGTGCAGTTTTGGCCTGCCTGGATACAACACAGGAGCTATGGATCTATCAGCGAGAATGGCAACGCTTTGGTGTCCGGATGTTACGTGAGAGAGCTGCATTTGTGTGGTAATCTAACGAGATTATAGTGGAACCTCAATTAACTGAATATTACTTTTCAAAATTGTCCTGTTGTCCGAAGAAAGCTCATTTCCCTTGCTTGTGGTTTGAGACTTTTTTTTTTAAATATGCTAGTTTTTGGCTGAGGTTTTTCAGAAGAGCCTGAATTAGGTGCCAAAATCCTATTGAGTCAAAAGGGAAGTAAGTGCCTAAAATGCATGGGCACCTTTAAAAATCCCAAGTTTTTGGCTTTTTACATACAGATTTCTGTGCATATGGGTGCTCCTGCTTTATCCAAATAAATTATAAACAGTTGGGGCACAAGTCAAACTTAGTGTATAAAATACTAAAGTGGCATACAGACAGACATGCATTTGTAAATAAGTAACATTATACTGAATGATTTGGTCTTAACTTTAGAAGCAGTAAGTCTAGTCTGGAAGCTTTTAAAGGAAAATTGCAGTGCCTCTTAATAGGATTGATTTAAAATGTAATGGATATGACTCCTCTTCTTAAACATTTTAAACCATTAAGACCAGAACCCAGTGAAATTAAGTACCGTTGAGGAACAAAGTAAGTATCTTAACACAGCTTTTTCCTTCTGTATGATCTTCATGAATTTTATTTAATGCAATGTTACTTCTCACACTTTTTTTTTTCTTTAGAAAAGAATCCATGTAGAGTTTTTGTCATATAAATATACAAACTTCTGGTGGTTACAAATACTTTAATTGGACAAGTTTAATGAAAAAAATGGAACAAAATAAATACAAGATATACATATCATCATCCCTGTTAAATGTTTAATAACTACTAAAATGAGTAGCAGCTTACAGCTACTCTTCCTAGTGGTGTGTTTTCTTCCAGAATCAGTGCTAACTTCAAAGAGAGAGACCATTTCTCTATAACAATTGAACTGTGTTTCACCTATTTTCTTGCATGTTTTCACTGTCAGGAAGACTTGTCAACATCCAAAATCACTGACACAGTTTTTGGCTCCTACCCCCTTAAAATATCCCCAAAACACTGCATCTGAGTCAGCACAACAATGTTCAGTGCAATCACAGTACAGGCAGCAGGAGCTCACCTTTGATAGGTAGCCCTTATTCACACAAGGATGAAGAAGATCATGAAACTGAAATCCTTCTCATTACTGTCCACTGCATTAGATAGGCAAAAAAGCCATACACTAACTGTAAAAAGTTATCTGAAGTGACAATTTTGAAATCTCCAGCTCACCCACAGTGGTACCACCCTGCTACTGTTAATCCCACCCCACAACTAGTTGATGGCAACATTCAGCATTATGGGGGAGTATGCCCAGACCATTCCTGCACTGCTAGCGCTTTGTCTGTTGTGACTTATCCCACCCTGTCTGTTGTAGCAATCTACTCTAGACTATAAATATAAACCTCACAGGGATACTTCCAGAATTTTAGTGACTACCAAAGAGGCATCTACTTTTTTAAAAACAGAAGAAAATTTGTTCTTTTTAAGAGCTAATTTTCCTGTCACTGAAAATTCTCTTGGAAAATGCATTTATGTTAAAACATTGGTGCAATCTTAAACTAAAAGCAGCGAGCTATATCAGTGTGCTATTCCTGTATATTTGTTGCAGGCAGCTGAAGACAGTCTGTCTCTGACTTTTTTTCATCCCAAGGTACTTGAAGCATAACCAACGAATACCCAATCTGGTATCTTTGTCTGTCCAAGTTAAATATTGTTGCTAGTTTTGCTGTAACAAAAAGGGTCCACAAATCTAACTGTATAAAACAATTATTTAATTTTTTAAAATGTGGTAGCTGAACCGTATTACAGAAAATGTACATATTTACAGAGATCATATTTGATTTGATAGACTTCAAATGGGTTCTGTACAATAAACGTTTCATAATTCCACATGGTTATCAGTATCATCAATGGGGCTTGACTTGTACATGTGGCAGATGATTTCATGAACCAAACATGGGTATTAATGGCCTATCCAGTTGTTTCCTTCTTGCGGTCAGGTGGGAAACAAGTGTTGCTTCTTAAATATACTTAAGTTCCTTAGCATTTGAGCGTCAGGAACTCCAGGAAGAGAACTGCTATAACCATTACATAGATGTATTAAGTCCTTTATTTACACTACAAAACTTATTCAGACACAAATTTATCGTATAGAATTATTAACATAGCATTAACAGTCCAGAGGAGGACATTAAATTTTAGTCCAATTAAATCCAGTAAGTAGATAAAGGGAAAACCCGCTACCATATGCACAAGATAAATTTAAATAATCTTATGAAACATAGAAAATTGTAATTTTTCTCCTCTCATCAGAAAGTAATTCGAGATATTTTCCCCTCGTGTTTTAATTTACCTATTTTTCTCCTTTTTTAGACTGTGTTTTAAACATAAGACCAAATCATGCCCCAAAGTCTATAGGACCATTAATTTTTAAAAAGTTTGTTTTGTTTTCCAAATACAATATAGTAACAATGACAATTCCATGTCAAACTGACCATACCTAGCTTTTCATTGTATACTCTTTTCCTTAATTTTAAAAACTAGCTTTACAATTAAATGACTAGCTTTAAATATTTCTTCCTAATTTACATAAAGGAGTTTACAATACACTGATGAATGGGTAGTTACCTCTCCTATGTAGACTTTTATAGCTTCGGTTTCTCTTTACTTTCAGCCTCTTAATTGCAGGATCAGGGCAAAAATCAGTTAAGCATGTTTTATCCAGAATTAATTTCACCCAAGCAAACTCATTTTAAATCCATCAAGTGCCTTACAAAATCATATTCTTCTGCTGCTGAGATCTTGTCTATTGTATTCCTCAGTTTGTATACATTTGGTGCTAGGTCTCCAGCCACAAACTAATTTTGTATTTGTGCCATGGGCCTGCTTATGTGAACTAGAAAGATCTCTACGAAAGATGTCAATGTCCTTCATGAGACAATATTTTGGACAGGTGTTCAGAGCACTTGGGAGAGTGTCTTGTGAATTTATTTCACTGAAAGAAACCACCATGTATTTGTGCAGAGAAGACATATTTTTCATATCGCTGCAGAAGAGGTTAAATGCAAGAGTGAACATACACTCAGAGTTATCTTTGTGGCTGTCTATGCTTTGGTAGCAAACACTATCACATTCAGTAATGATATAGCTTGAACTGAGGAAAATTATCTTATCTGCAGTTTCTTTCTGCATAGCAAGCCATTGTACTGGGCCTTGTTCAGCAATTCTCCTTCTTTGCCACATATCGATAATAACATCACTTTGACAGTGCTTGTGCAGAAATTCAGCAAAAGCCAGGACAGTATGCTGAAAACACACTTCTTTTGGATATATAACCAGTACTTTAACAGGTTGTTGTAGCTCTGCATGATGGAAGAACATTTTCTTTGTATCTGTTAATAAAAAATATATATATACTATATTGAATTTAAACATTTTTAGCAGCAAATAAAATCAACATTTGAATGAGTTCCTAAACTAGGTATGGAGGAGTTATGCACTTGTAAAAAAAAGATTTATTCCAGAAGGTTCATTTTTAAAAGATTAGATTATGCAAGTCAATCACTAAATCAACCCTCATTTTGACTCCAAACCCTGTCTACTAGGAAACTGCTGACACTGGTTGGCAAATAAGTCAATGTGTCCCCATGAACCAATGCTGAAAGTAGATTGACAAAACTAGTTTTGTCTGGTTTTTACTAGTACAAGACAGTACACGTTCCATTGTGTCTCAGTCACCTTTCTGTAACAGTGCTGTAAACAGTTTTGTGCCATTTAATGTAAAGCTCTGTCCTCACTCTGAAAACTGCAATGTTATTTTCAGAATTCAGTGGTACAGAACTATTTTTATGGCTAATGGAGTTTCTCATTTTGAGGATGTGGTTTAAACTTCTCCCTGACAATGGGTGGAGTCTTTATTTCCAATTCATTGCCATGACTGTTAAAGCAAAGGTGAGAGGAAGTGTAATAAAACATAGTGTGCTGAAATAAAGTGCATGCTACCTATACAGTGAGTATCCAAGAGCTAGTCTAGGTATTTGTGAAGTGGTATAATCTCCAGCTAAGACCAAAGATGTTCAGTTTAGTAAGGACTATACCCCCAATTTTGTTTCTCTGTATTTTAGAAGCATAATTCTAGTAGGTGAAGTGTGGGATGGAAACTAGGAGATCTAAGAGGGAAATTAGCTAAAGAAACTCTCAGTATAGCTGAAGCAGGAAGATTACATGAAAATGGGTGGGTTTGCTGAACTACCAGAGAGCTAAGAGGGAGCATTTGAGGAGAACAAGGCCATTGCAGAGACGTTAAATGGTTTCTTTGCTTCATTCTTCACTACAGAGGATGTTGGGGAGATACCTACTCTTTTCAGATAATAAAGATGAGATGCTGTCTAAAACTAAGGGGTTAGAAGGTGCTCAGCAAATTGAGATGAGCAGCAAAAAATTACCAGGACCTGATAAGCAAATAGTTCTGAGTGAGGAATTATGGGGCTAACAAAAAATAGGTACTATATCAGAAGACTGGAGGGTAGTAAAATGTGCCTATTTAAAAAAAAAAAGGTTTCAAGACTTATCCTTGGAATTCCAGACTAGTGACCTTTACTTAAATGTGACGTAAACTGGTTGAAATATTTAGGGTTATAAAATACCTAGATTAATGTGATAGTATAGGGATAAGACAGTCCTGGCTTCTGTACAGAAAAAAATATGGCACGTTAGTAGAATTCTTCATTAAAAAAACCAGTGTATTAAGGAAAGCATCCAGTTGATATAATTTATTTGGACTTCCTAAGAGCTTCTAATAAAGTCCCTCACCAGAGGCAATTAAGGAAAGTAGGTAAGAAGTAAAGAAACTGGTTAAAAATCAAAGCAAAGAGCAGGAATAAATTATCAGTTTTAAACATGGCAAAAAGTTGGGGAATATCAATGTTCCCTAATAGGACCGGTGTTTACTATATTTATTATTCAAGTGGAAAATGATCGGGAGGGTAGGGGACAAAACTTGCAGATGACATTTATTTAGGTTAGTCAAGACTGGCAAAAGCTGTCATGAGTATCAAAGTGAGCTAAAAAAGCTAGGAGAATGGGCAGCACAATAGCTACTGAAAGGCCATGCTGACAATTACAAGGTCATGCCCACTGAAATGAAAAAAATTTAATAGGCATTGTGGGGTACAATTAACAATTAACTACCACCAAAAGATGGAAGGAAAAAGACTTGGGCGTCCTTGGGACAACTCCACAAAAACCTCAAAAAGAACAGGAGTACTTATGGCACCTAGTTAGTCTCGAAAGTGCCACAAGTACTCCTGTTCTTTTTGCGGATACAGACTAACACGGCTGCTACTCTGAAACAAAAATCTCAGGCTTCTGTTGTGATATATGACAGTCAATGAAACTGAAAGATGACCTGTAAAACTGGCAAAAGGAAATACTTTTTTAACCCACTGAATTATTAACCTGTTTAATTCATTGACACACATTACCACTGAGGCAAGAGAGAGCCTAGTAGCATTAAAAAAAGATTATATTTTTATGTTGATGATGAGAACATCTACAGAAAATCAGAGGTATAAAACCCTTGTGTTTCAGGGTATAAACCAAGCCAGCCACTAATCTTGGGGGTTTAGGAAGAAAGTTCCCTTATGTGCAGGTTATTCTATAAGTGAAGTCTCTTGTACTTTCCTCTCAAGCATCTGGTACTAGGCGTTGTCATAGATGAGATACCGAACTGGAGAAATCACTGGTGTGATCCAGTATGGTGGCTTCTCTAAGTTTATCTTAGTTCTATATGGACTTTGCTTGAGGCAGTGCTTCTTATAAATGATGTCATCTGAGACTTTTCTACTTCTGGTTTGCACCTAAAACATAAGTCTTCTCTTCCCACCTTGCCATTCTTTTATCTCCTCTAGAGACATGCATACAAAACAAGTAATGAATCTAGTGAGCCCTAGAATTGGACACAATTTGTGTTTTAGGTAATTTTTAAACTACTCTTGTTGGTTTTAATATAAATAATTATAGGATTGAACATTTACCCTGAAATTCACATATAAGTGAAGGGCAGGCTAAGAGTTTCATAAATTAGGGTATAGTAATGCTTGCTTGTTGTGATATTTAAAAGATGATATATAAGTGCACTGCAACACCTTTAATATGAACTGCCTCACTAAAAGGAAACTGAGGCAAAGATCAAAGAACCTTAAAGTACAGCTTTTTCAAAAGAGTGAGTAAAGGTCTTACCACAGTTCCTGAAAAATACTACAGCAGCAATCACACACACAATTACAAATAAAGCAGCAAGGATGAGACACACATATCTTCCAGATGAATCAATTGTGATGGTCCCTAAAAGAGAGAGAACCATAAGTCTTCAATGAGGAGCCTTTTGAATAATTGACTTTAAAGAAAAAAAGGCTTTTGGTTACTTAACAATTGAACTAAGCATTTCCAGGCTGTATACATGAAAGAGAAACTGCACTAAAATATGACTTCCCCACAAAGGTTATGCAGAAATGTTAACACGTGCTGAGGAACTTGAGAAACCCTGTTCTCTACACTGCAGCAGGTGCTATCTTCTTCCCATCCTACTCCCTTAAGTTTCCTTCCATGTCCCTGCAGAGACTGGCAAATACTTCCTCCTCCCAGCAGACTGACATCCCATGTGTCACTCTGACCTCCCTCTGCTGTTTTGTCAGCACTGATAGCTGTTAACTGGCTTTAATTTATATAGTTTAAATATGCAATGTATTTAGCATGAAAACAAACATTTTGGAAGGAGTGCTGTAAGAGGAAGGATAATGAAAGACAAAGTAGACCAAGGACTTCAAAGGGACTGCCAGAGGTACAGTATATGATCCTAGAGTGCTCATCATCTATTTAGCCTCAACGTTAATCCTTCCCATGCTGTCAGATGTTGCCTAGGGTACAAACAAGACTTTCCCATCCTGGGCTATCATGCTGTTTGGCAAAATGGCGATCTTGTGTTTTAATAACTTAACTTTCCTTTTTTTTTTTAAATCAAGGACAGGTTGTTGGCCTATTGTTCAACCCCCCAACCTTGTAGACCAGTGGATTGCTGTCCATCTCATCTACTACCCTTTGACCTGTCCAGTTTAGGTGGCCCTACCAGGAGTTAAAACTGCTGCCACCACAGCTCTGAGGGGCATTGGAACACAGAAGCCTTTCTACCACATCAAGCTGCAGTCCCTAGGGAAGGATCGTTAAAGAAGTATCTGAAATTCAAATTTTTCTTTACCAAAGAGTAACTGCTCTAGACTTGAAAGTGTAAGAGACACACAATGGTAGGTCAGTGGACATAGTAAGAGACAGAACAAGCTATAATTCCTACTTCATCTGTTTTGAATGCTGATAAATACTCAACTAACCATTACTGTGGTTTTGAACACACATTGTTAGGGTTCCTTTGTGCCTTCGACAATCATATTCACATTTAGCAAAATAAGGAATTATCTAAAGAAAAAAGAAAAGTAGAAGAAAAATTCTAATATGCAGACAAATAAATACTTAGTGACAGCTCTATTCCTTCCTGTTTCTTTTATCCTGTTTGGCCCTTTGGTGTCCTATTCTGATTACTGAGTTTCTTAAAGAGACTTTATCGCGTGACAATACAGAAACTTAAAAAGTACTTTCCTTACTAATAACTTATATGACTAAAACGAAAGAGTAATTTCCTTTTCACTGTTTATTCTGCTGGTTTATCTTGTGCATGACCATACTACTCAATGCCTAGTTTGCAAACACTAATTGGGAATATTTAAGCAATACATTTGTTAAAATTAAATAGTTTTAGAAAGAGTTCCATTGAACCACCTCTTTTCATTTTCGTAATTTCAATAAAACCTAGATTTGTGGCTCAAACTGCCTGTGTCCATTTAAATGACGCACATTGATAACAGGAATAAAGAGCCCAGTACGTGTGTCTTCTCAGGCTAAAAGGCAAAATATAGTACTAGTATATGCTCTTATGAAGCTGTACTTAGTAAGAGTCAAGGCTTTTCTGTATTCTCTGGTGGTTCTATAGCTGGGAAATGCATCTGAGACTTACTGGAGTTGAGGTCAGAGTAAGGTATATAATTGAAAATAGGCTGCTATACCATCCTATATAAACCTCAATTTGGGTACCAATAGTTTATATGTGACCACATTTTGGGCCCACACTGAAATTAATGGGAAAACGCCTGTTGATTTCTATGGTACAGCTTATTATCCTACAACTTATTATGAACCAGACCGTTGTGTATACAGAACAAGAATACGTGATCCCAACCTTAAATGGACCAATTTAGAATACAGTCATTTGTAGATGTTTTTAAGAATAAATATAAACTCCAGATAATACATTTCCCAGCTTATCTGCTTAACTGCTCTGTGCAGTGAAGCAATTTTAAGGAAATAGAAACCACAGGATTATAGATTCATCTGTTTGTCTTAGTTGTTCGCACATATATCCCCAAAAGGCAAGAATCTGAAAACAGTTCTGTGAGTGTGGATCTGAAAAACACCCCAGTAATACCAAGACCTCAGTGTAAATATATTAAACACGTTTGTCTTAAGCGTTGTAGCACAGGAGATTTATACTGTGCAATTTATTTAAATCACTATTAGTAGAAACAAAACTTATGTCCAGTAATCCATGTCCATTCACTTAATGCAGTACAAAGGTGAACTCGAAATCAAGAGCTACATGGTATTGCACACAGGTTTACTAGACATTAGTCAGAAACAATGTAGTATTTGCATACAATTCATTCATTTTAAAGAAGCTACTTTTCCCATTGCAAATTCAATCAAAATTGAACTTTACCTGTACAGAAATATTGTTGCTTTGATCACTCACTGGTATTCTAACAGAAGTTCTAGTTTCATTGATCTAATGCAGATAGAAACCAACAAGAAAAAAAAAGTTGAAGCAAATGTGTTACACAAAGGAATAATTTAAAAATAATACATAATAAGGGGAAATATATTTAAAATATTGATCAGATTTGTTGACACTATTAAATATAATATACATTTGTTGTTTTAAGTGATGATTATATCATTTTTAAATCTGACTTCTTTGCTAGGTAAGAAAAAATTTCAGAATATCTCAGCACGTAACCTTCATTAAGAATAAGTTTGAGTTTAGGTAAAGCTTATTTAAACTAGTACCGTATTACCATTTTACAGTCTATTATTACACCTTCCCTGTAGAACACTCCCAATTTGAAAATGTTACAAATCGAAGCATTTTTAAAATCTGAAAGATAAATGGGTAAACCACGAGGTAGCACCATGGAGATTAAAATGTTTGAATCGTAGAACCATAGAAGATTAGGGTTGGAAGAGACCTCAGGACGTCATCTAGTCCAACACCCTGCTCAAAGCAGGACCAACCCCAACTAAATCATCCCAGCCAGGGCTTTGTCAAGCCAGGCCTTAAAAACCTCTAAGGATGGAGATTCCACCACCTCCCTAGGTAACCCATTCCAGTGCTTCACCACCCTCCTAGTGAAATAGTTTTTTCCTAATATCCAACTTAGACCTCCAGCACTGCAATTTGAAACCACTGCTGCTTCTTCTGTCATCTGCCACCACTGAGAACAGCCTAGCTCCATCCTCTTTGGAACCCCCCTTCAGGTGGTTGAAGGCTGCTACCAAATCCCCCCTCACTCTTCTCTTCTGTAGACTAAATAATTCCAATTCCCTCAGCCTCGCCTCATAAATCATGTGCCCCAGCCCCCTAATCATTTTCGTTGCCCTCTGCTGGACTCTCTCCAATTTGTCCACATCCTTTCTGTAGTGGGGGGCCCAAAACTGGATGCAGTACTCCAGATGTGGCTTCACCAGTGTCAAATAGAGGGAAATAATCACTTCCCTCGATCTGCTGGCAATGCTCCTACTAATGCAGTCTAATATGCCGTTAGCCTTCTTGGCAACAAGGGCACACTGCTGACTCCTATCCAGCTTCTCATCCACTGTAATCCTCAGGTCCTTTTCTGCAGAACTGCCACTTAGCCAGTCGGTCCCCAGCCTGTAGCGGTGCATGGGATTCTTCGTTCCAAGAATTGTTGAACCTCATCAGATTTCTTTTGGCCCAAGCCTCCAATTTGTCTAAGTCACTCTGGACCCTATACCTACCCTCCAGCGTATCTACATCTCCCCACAGCTTAGTGTCATCTGAAAATTTGCTGAGGGTGCAATCCGTCCCATCATCCAGATCATTAATAAAGATGTTGAACAAAACCGGCCCCAGGACCGACCCCTGGGGCACTCCACTTGATACCGGCTGCCAACTAGACATCGATCCATTGATCACTACCCGTTGAGCCTGACAATCTAGCAAGCTTTCTATCCACCTTGTCATCCATTCATCCAATCCATACTTCTTTAACTTACTGACAAGAATACTGTGGGAGACCATATCAAAAGCTTTGCTAAAGTCAAGATATATCACATGCACTGCTTTCCCCATATCCACAGAGCCAGTGGACAGTGTATGCTGCAGATTACTGACTAGACCTTCCAAATTAGCAGAACTCAAATACTCAGCTCTGGGATTTTACACAGTTCTCTTACCACCTGAAGCACAAAGAAAAACTTGCTGCCTTCTTGGAGAAAAGGAGCATAATTATTGGAGCACAGCTCTTCCTAAAGTTGGCTGTCATTCTCCTAGAACCCAGCACACAGACTTCTCATGGACTGCTGGCCAGTTCCTCTAATTTGTCTGAAAAAAGCATGCCCCCCGCTAACTTGGTAAAATGGTAAATGGTAAAAAAGTAGATTGTGATAAAGGAGAGGAAAAATAAAAGAAATTGGATTTACCATTTTTAGGTATCTAAAAAAGCATGTGTATGTTTTAATGTTAGCTGTTATATGTACAAGAAAAATACCTTTGTCATCAAATCCTTTTCAATAGGTACATCACATTTCTCACACTCATAGAGAAGTATGGTATATTTGGTCCCAAGGCTACTTGTTGTAAAATTCACTTCCACTTCTGCCTCTGTTTTACATGCAGTTATATTTGGATTCCACAGACTTCCTGTGGGTTGTAAAGAATACAGTTTAAAATTCTTAATAACTGCCTACGTGCTGAAAGTTGTTCCCATTTGAATGTAGTGCTCGTAAAAGGTGCCAGACTGACAGCCCAAGAGAGTGGCTGCCTGTTTGGACAGCATGGGCAGTGGGAAAACAATTGCCCCACAGTGGCCTAATTCTGACCAGCGGAGACAACCTTTAGAAGTGAGAAAACAGGCTAAATTCCACACTTGTTGGCCTCTCTGCTGAAGTGCCCTACTGGGGAGAGAGGGGTGTGTGTCTCAGAGTGGCAAGTCAGAAGAGTGGTTGGTCAAAGGAGTTATGTTGCTGCTGAGTTCAGGCACTGATATTTTAAAATGAAAGTGGCAAGCATGTCCCGCATATTTAAGACTCAAACAAATTCACAAAGGCTTTTTAGCCTCCTCCCTACCAGATCCTTTATGGAATTCCTTTGCCTCATCACAGGTGCCTTTTGCAATCTGGGATCTGTCCAGTGGTAACTGGACTAACTCTACCATCTTATAAACACATGCCAAATTAATCTCTCGATCCCACAATATATTAGATTAGGAAGTTTGGAAATATCCTCTAATTTAGACTGTGCCTACTGCTACTTTAGGAATGTGCAGGATTCTCAAACTTCTGATTTCAGGGGAATTCAAATTTGGTACCAGAAGCAAGATTCAGATTTAGGTCTCTGCTTCCTATTTAACAGCAGCAGCATTCACTCCATCCTTCATAGCTGGGATTGCGGTTGGCGCATGGTCAGATCTGATATCACACACAAGACACCAGATATCAGCATAATGCTATCACATTCTTTATTACAAAGAATGTCCAAAAGGATACAAGGAGGGCTGTTTGTCCAAACTACAGGGGACAAGATAGTTTGATTTCAATATTTACACATTTACATGGGATTTTTTTATTTAATTAGTCTCAAAGGGCAGATAGTCCCTTAAGGGCCTTTTCAAGGTTGGATAAATATAATCTTGTGAAGAGTTATGAGCAGTTTTCTTTCTTATCATTGACTGCATGTATATGCTGGCACTGAAATTGGCCCCAACGTGTTCATCTCCCCTTTTCAGTATTTTAAAGGCTTTATAAGGTAGAAAATAAATATCAAGATTGTCCATATTCCTCCATTTGTGAAAATAAATCCAAAGATACATCTATTGCACTTACCCACTTCTATGCAACTTTTGCTGTATTTCATTACATTATCTTTACAACCTGTGGATTTAAATGTATTTTATATATTTTAGCAAATATATTCTCTCTTTGCAGCTATATATTTTCATTGAAGCCTATCCCGTGCGCATATGAAGTCATTTCTCACCAACAAAGTGTAGATATCACAATCAGAGTTATTTGCATTCCTGGGCAGCTCCTATGAAATGAGCTCCACAAGCAGCATTCTCATTTCCTCATTTAGTTCTCCCATTTTGGAAGTGTCACATCCTTCTCCCCTGCCTCAGGCACAAAAATGTGAGCAGCTCTGCTCATGTATGCAGGTAACCACGCTACAGACACATGATTCTCTTCAGATAAAACCTTCTGGTGGCAATTTATGAACCCAAACAAAAAAAACTTGGCCTTTCCATAGCATTAGAAGCCTCTTCACACGGAATACATGCATCTACCCCCACTAAGAAGGTTGGTCCCCCCACTACAGAAGGGATGTGGACAAATTGGAGAGAGTCCAGCAGAGGACAATGAAAATGGTTAGGGGGCTGGGACACATGACTTATGAGGAGAGGCTGAGGGAACTGGGATTATTTAGTCTGCAGAAGAGAAGAGTGAGGGGGAATTTGATAGCAGCCTTCAACTACCTGAAGAGGGGTGCCAAAGAGGATGAGGCTAAGCTGTTCTCAGTGGTGGCAGATGACAGAACAAGAAGCAATGGTCTCAAGTTGCAGTGGGGGAGGTCTAGGTTGGATATTAGGAAAAACCATTTCACTGGGAGGGTGGGAAGCACTGGAATGGGTTACCTAGGGAGGTGGTGGAATCTCTATCCTTTGAGGTTTTTAAGGCCTGGCTTGACAAAGCCCTGGATGGGATGATTTAGTTGGGGATTGGTCCTGCTTTGAGCAGGGGGTTGGACTAGATGACCTACTGAGGTCTCTTCCAACCCTTATATTCTATGATATTACCACAGTTAAAAAAAAAAAAAAAAGGCCCCTGAACTGCTTCCTCTGCTTTTTAATTATCTAATTCCCAGCAGTTAAAAATCTAAACAAGAAAAGACAACACAAGGCCATGCCTGCTTACAGTGATTTAAAAACAAAGTGAACATAGTGCTTTTTAAAGATGCTAAATTGACAGCCCTGGAAGAGGACAATCCTCTATCTGTCTACAGAACAAGTACAGCACAGGCAGCACCTTAACCCTGGTGGGGGGAGGTCCAAATCTAGATGTGAAGGTAGTATGGATACCCATATAGCTTCCTGAGTGCCAAGATGGATGCCAGTTGTAGTATCACTTGTGATGGTGCTTGTTGTGGTATGGAAACCTTGTTCACTCGGAACAAATACTTATTTCACAGAGTCACCAAACAAGGATTGGTCACTCAGAATCACCTGGCCCCACTTTTTGAACACTTAGCCTATTACCAAGCTGCCTTATAATTTTAGAGAAAGCTTAATATTCTTGATTAGTTTATTAAGAACTAAAAGTGAGAATAAAGTTAGCCACAGGTGTGACATCATAAAAAAAAAAATCTACAAAGCCGACAGTTTTCTGCTTTAAAAAACTGATTTTACCTGTTACTAGAAGTTAGAGAGAAAAAAAGTAGGGAAGAGAAAGGAGAGCTTGGAAGGAAAAAGTAACTAAGGATGTGTTATCAAAGCTGAATTAATTATCTCTGCATCTACATGTTTATTATGCAATCTGTTTAAATATAAAAATACATTTGTTTTTGTTGATTCCTAGCTTTTCAAAACATCCTATACAATAAAGTCTGGAAATAATTTAGTATCATAAATAAGATTTTCATATGAACCAGGTTAAATAGAGACTGGTAAATTACCTGGTGAAGTTAACATGATGGATTTTGATGGAGAATCCTCATATATATTTGCTGGGGGAAGGTTGTAAGCACTGACAGAATAAGACATTTCTGGTTCTACAGGGAATCCAATGTAGTGGAACTGCCACTAAAACAAAACAATTAAAACAGCAGTTTTGAGGGCCAAATTCTTCTTTCAGTTATGCTTGGCAACTTCAGTGAACTCTGTGAGCTGTGCTGGTATAACTGAGAAAAGAATTGTCCTCTCAAATCATTAAATACTGAGAGAGGTGTACATTGAAACAGTGAAAAATATAATTTTAAGGTACATAGAATGTCTGAGATACACACTGCTGTGAAACTTGTTTGGTTCTTAAGATCCTGATACCAAAAATCATTCAGAAACTTTTCCAATATCAGTTTATGCCTGGTAGAATATCAAATTTCATTTCCAATCCTATATACTTGGAAAGAACTGTATTCAGAATAACACATCCAAATCCAGCTTTGAAAACCCAGGGTTTCTCTTCATCTTAGTAATAATTAAAAAACAACAACTAACATTTGAAAGATACCACAAAGCTAATCATCCCTGTCATTTTCATGCATTCACGGGAGCCAGATCAGGCATAGTTGGGGAGGTAGAAGTGCAGAAAGAAGGAGCAATGGCTTCACATCAAGCTGTCCTAGTTCCTCAGTCTTTTAGAAATTCACCACTGGTGTATCATGGGCTTGGGGTTCCACAAGATTGGAGAGGGCAGTTTGGGAGGAGGGCTGCCATTCAGGATACCATCCCCTACCCTCTGATCGTGAAATGAAAGATAATACTGAACCAATCTGTATTATCTCATATTGGCTGCCCCTCTGTACTGTGAGCTCTAAAACACAGAGACAGCATGGGAGCAGAACTTATTGGGGTGACATGCTGCCACGGGAAAAGGCGCAGCTAGGTCCTCCACACAGCTTTCCCCTCTGCCAGTGTCTGAAAAAATGCAGGTTTGTACAGCTAAACCCGTTTTACTAAATTTTCTGAAGGAGTCCAATCCACAGCTCATTCTTTACCAGCCCTCTGTGCATTAACTGTGGCACAGAGGAATGATCTGGCCTTAATTTTTAAATGACACCTCCCTACTCTCTCCTCCCTAACAACAACAAATGACAAAATAATCACTTTTTTAAAAATGTTCTTACTCTTCTATTCCCAAGCATGGTTTGACTTTGAAACTTCTCTGTGTAATTGCACCGAACACACTCAAAATGTTCTCTAGTTCCTTTACTCATCACACAGATCTTTGTAGCTGTGAGTTCTTTGATGCTGGCTGGAAGTAAAGAAGAAAAAATGGTATTCATAGATATAAATATTTGCATAGATCTTTGCTGCTCATACATAAAGAAATAAAATAAACCGTGTGCAGTATTAAACAGAGAAAACTATAGTGATACAATAGATCCTTGCATAAACTAATGAGAGCAATGATATTTTAAGGTTGTCATGATACTCTTAACCCTCTGGCTCTATTTACAGTATAAACCATGGTCTTAGCTATCACCATGTTTTTGTAATAACTAGTTCATGCCAAACTCATCTGACCAAGTTAAAACAAACTTGACTAAGTTAAGTCCATAACACATCTCTTTTCACAGCTCAATCATATGTATACAGTACATCTATAACCACAACACTAACTTTTATGTGTAGCAGTGCACTCTGGGAAAATCTTGGCAGCTATCCCAGAGTGCCGTAGCAAGGTTAGGTTTCAGAGGAACAGCCGTGTTAGTCTGTATTCGCAAAAAGAAAAGGAGTACTTGTGGCACCTTAGAGACTAACCAATTTATTTGAGCATGAGCTTTCGTGAGCTACAGCTCACTTCATCAGATGTTTACCGTGGAAACTGCAGCAGACTTTATATACACACAGAGAATATGAAACAATACCTCCTCCCACCCCACTGTCCTGCTGGTAATAGCTTATCTAAAGTGATCAACAGGTGGGCCATTTCCAGCACAAATCCAGGTTTTCTCACCCTCCACCCCCCACACAAATTCACTCTCCTGCTGGTGCTAGCAGGAGAGTGAATTTGTGTGGGGGGTGGAGGGTGAGAAAACCTGGATTTGTGCTGGAAATGGCCCACCTGTTGATCACTTTAGATAAGCTATTACCAGCAGGACAGTGGGGTGGGAGGAGGTATTGTTTCATATTCTCTGTGTGTATATAAAGTCTGCTGCAGTTTCCACGGTAAACATCTGATGAAGTGAGCTGTAGCTCACGAAAGCTCATGCTCAAATAAATTGGTTAGTCTCTAAGGTGCCACAAGTACTCCTTTTCTTGTAGCAAGGTTAGAGCATCAGTAGCAATACGTGAGGTAATATGCTCTGGGATGTCCTTCTACCAAAAAGCTGTGAGGAAGGAAAAGTGGCCATACACATGTATTATTAGGTGGGTTCTCCATATACAGCAAAGAAACAATGTTATGAATGTTACGTTTAAAGAAAAACAACTATAAACCAGCATAAGCCATTATGGCTAGGCTGGCATATGATTAGCTGCTGTGCTTACTAACTGTTTATTAACTATGTTGTGTGTGTATGATTAGAGCCAACTATGTCACTAACAAGTTACAAACTCAGTTAAAAGTTTGTTGCTGGAATATACCAGCTACATTCACCTCAGTGATGCATACAGCACTGTGAAATCAGTGAATACTTCACCCCCAGCCCCGAAGCTCATTCATGAGATTTTCCCTCTACAAGGTTACAAAAAAGAGAGGTGGGGGGAGAGGGGGCTTAAAATGAAGCCTGGAGCCAGTTGAGTTTAAAAAAACAAATCTTTGATAGTGGCACATCAACTCCTACATTGACACTTACCACAACATATGTAGTGTTCTAGTGGTTTGTACTAAAAATGAAAAATGCTTAAAATATTGAGATTTTGTTGAGTACAAAGCAATGCCTGATTTCTAAAACTGTATTTCCATTACATTTGTACTAACATGACTATCCTTTGATTTGCATGCACATGTATGTGCTAGGAATTGCCATGACAAAGATCACAGTAACGATGATTAAATGTTAGAGCAGTGGTTTTCAAACTTCATTGTACCAAGGCCCTCTTCTGACAACAAAAATTACTACATGACTCCAGACCGGGGGCAGAGTCGGGGTGGAGCATGAGCCCTGCCACCCTGGCTGAAGCCCTTAGGCTTTGGCTTCAGCCCTGGGACCCCAGCAAGTCTAATGCTGGCTCTGGCAACCCCATTAAAATGGGGTTGCGACCCACTTTGGGGTCCCGACCCACAGTTTGAGAACCGCTCTGTTAGAGCAAACTGCACAATCCTCTGAACCCCCTGACTAAATGATTCAGTTACTACTGTTAACAAAAGAAAAAACCATATGTGGAGGATGGGGAGAGTGGGAGGTAGAGAGGAATTGAAAAATGAACAAACAATGACTTTTAAGGTTGTGGTTTGTTGGCTAGAAAGCATGCCTGCAAGAGATTAACTGTAATTCAGGCCCTACGCTACCAGCACTCCCAGCTATCTTTGAGACACCACTGACTTCCTGAGGAAACTACAATCCATCGGTGATCTTCTTGAAAACACCATCCTGGCCACTATGGATGTAGAAGTCCTCTACACCAACATTCCACACAAAGATGGACTACAAGCCGTCAGGAACAGTATCCCCGATAATGTCACGGCAAACCTGGTGGCTGAACTTTGTCCTCACCCATAACTATTTCACATTTGGGGACAATGTATACCTTCAAATCAGCGGCACTGCTATGGGTACCCGCATGGCCCCACAGTATGCCAACATTTTTATGGCTGACTTAGAACAACGCTTCCTCAGCTCTCGTCCCCTAATGCCCCTACTCTACTTGTGCTACTTTGATGACATCTTCATCATCTGGACCCATGGAAAAGAAGCCCTTGAGGAATTCCACCATGATTTCAACAATTTCCATCCCACCATCAACCTCAGCCTGGACCACTTCCTGGACACTACGGTGCTAATAAGCGATGGTCACATAAACACCACCCTATACCGGAAACCTACTGACAGCTATGCCTACCTACATGCCTCCAGCTTTTATCCAGACCACACCACACGATCCATTGTCTATAGCCAATGTCACGATCCATTGTCTATACAATACAACCGCATTTGCTCCAACCCCTCAGACAGAGACAAACACCTACAAGATCTCTATCAAGCATTCTTACAACTACAATACCCACCTGCTGAAGTGAAGAAACAGATTGACAGAGCCAGAAGAGTACCCATAAGTTACCTACTACAGGACAGGCCCAACAAAGAAAATAACAGAACGCCACTAGCCATCACCGTCAGCCCCCAACTAAAGCCTCTCCAACGCTTCATCAAGGATCTACAACCTATCCTGAAGGAGGACCCATCACTCTCACAGATCTTGGGAGACAGGCCAGTCCTTGCTTACAGACAGCCCCCCAACCTGAAGCAAATACTCACCAGCAACCACACACCACACAACAGAACCACTAACCCAGGAACCTATCCTTGCAACAAAGCCCGTTGCCAACTGTGTCCACATATCTATTCAGGGGACACCTTCATAGGGCCTAATCACATCAGCCACACTATCAGAGGCTCATTCATCTGCACATCTACCAATGTGATATATGCCATCATGTGCCAGCAATGCCCCTCTGCCATGTACATTGGTCAAAGCAGGCAGTCTCTACGTAAAAGAATAAATGGACACAAATCAGATGTCAAGAATTATAACATTCAAAAACCAGTCAGAGAACACTTCAATCTCTTTGGTCACTTGATTACAGACCTAAAAGTGGCAATTCTTCAACAAAAAAACTTCAGAAACAGACTCCAACAAGATAGTGCTGAATTGGAATTAAATTTGCAAACTGGACACAATTAACTTAGGCTTGAATAAAGACTGGGAGTGGATGGGTCATTACATAAAGCAAAACTATTTCCCTATGCTTATTCCGGCCCCCACCCCCACGGTTATTCACACCTTCTTGTCAACTGTTGGAAATGGCCCACCTTGATTATCACTACAAAAGGTTTCCCCCCCCCCCCCGTTCTCCTGCTGGTACTAGTTCACCTTACCTGATCACTCTCGTTACAGTGTGGATGGTAACACCCATTGTTTCATGTTCTCTGTGTATATAAATCTCCCCACTGTATTTTCCACTGCATGCATCCAATGACGTGAGCTGTAGCTCACAAAAGCTTATGCTCAAATAAAATTTTTAGTGTCTAAGGTGCCACAAGTCCTCCTTTTCTTTTTGCGGACACAGACTAACATGGCTACTATTCTGAAACCTATAATTGATAGTTGATGGTCTCAATCCACTTCCCATTTGACAAGTGTCCCACATGAGAAAACTCACCAGCACAGTCGTCAACAACTGACACCATGGTTAGTAGTTTCTATGGAGAAGCCAAGTGTCAAATGGGCCATGCAGACAGACTTGCTCTTAAAAGTATTTCCTTCCATTCAAGACAGAGAAAAGATTGCAGGGCAGCATAAAGAAGCTTTCACTGCCACTATTCCTGTTGTGTGCTTGGAGGATATTGGTGTTCAGGGCTGTTAATGCAACATGCTTCACAAGCACTAAATTCAAAAGGAAATGTTATATTGTATAGTCTTATGTACTTGGATGTCACACCTACCATCCATGCTGAGGCTCCAGCTGATATTTATAAGATATGACCTGAAGTGTGTCTCCACTTCTGTTTCAATTAACTGGGCAGTGAGATTATGAAGATCTGCCGGTGTTAGATTGTGCCACTTTCTCAACTCATGAGCAGGACCTTGCAAAGATGAGTAGACATGAGTTAAAAGTAGAGCAGCTACCTAGTATTTAAACACATTCCATATTGTCAATCAGTCTGTGAATTCTACTGGTATTTTCACCTACTTATGAAAATAATCACTTTTTGTGTCTCAGAAACAAGAATTTACCATTAGGAAAACCACTCCTCTCCCATGCACCCAGCAGATTCTGTTTCTGACACTAACAGTTCATTTAAAAAACTCTGATTGTTTGTTCTTATGTAACTAAATGATACATTCTTTTCATGTGCTGAGAAACTTCAAATCAGATATATCTTATAAAGTCAGTCTGAGCATAAGTTTGGAAATCATGTACATTGACGACATTTGCAGTGTCTTTCCTGTATTAATAAGCACATTTAACCGCATTTAATGTAAACCAGAGTTTTGTTTTTTTACCAAGAAATAGAGCAATATCTAAAATATGGAGGTGGGAGGGGGGGAATGTCCTCCCAATGCCATCAACACAAATGAGATATCTCCAGGCTCTAAACTAGTACTGCTCCTGAGACAGTATTGTGAGCTGGGACAGTGTAGCTGTACTCAGGGTCTCCTGTAAGAGATCAGAAATTCTGCAATGAATGAATAAAGATACAGAACTACCTTCTCTACTGTGGTAGTGACTGAAACCACCCATACTATGTCAGTGTACCTGGCCAACAGTCAAGTGGGAGACAGTTTGGAAGGGAGTCAAGTACTTGATAGAGACTGAGAAAAGAGATGGAGAAAATCTATCCAACTGGAAACTGTCTCTTATCAGAGACAGAAAGCTTTAAAAAAAAGAAAAGTCAACGCTAATAGCAAAGTGGCAGGATCAAGGCTCACCTTATCAGGCAGCGTGCCGTAGGGATGTCACATTTGTATAATTTTTGGTGGTGCCCAAGCAGAACCATCCTGTCCATATGACGGACTGGGGCAACTGCCCTGGGCCCCACGCTTTGGGTGGCCCGTGCTTCAGGGGGACACCAGGCCCCCTGCTAGCCCCCCAGACCGCCCTGGACCCCGCACCTCCATGAAGCACGGGGCAGGGGTAGACACCACTGTGTTGCATGACGGACACTTGACAAAATTACCGGACTTAGTGATTTTTTTGGGGGGTGGGGGTTATTATGTCATTCACTCATTCAACCCCTAAAAAAAGCACAGAATTTTCCACACCGAAAAAAGCCCCAGTAACCTAGCTAATAATAAATAGTAATAATAAATAATAATAATAATAAATTAAACTCACATAATTAATTAAAAATGTGTGTATATTGAATATGAGATTATTACATGAGAAATGAAAATGAGCTTGCTTTGGGATTTTACAAGGCACTTATATCATTTAAACACATTTGGTACCCTGCGTAATGATAACACTTCTTGCAAATCACATAAATAAGGAACCCATGGTCCTCTTCCCTCACCCCATTGCAAAGGCACAGGGGTTATTGCTGGCTGCCCTAGGGTTGCAGAAAACCCTATGGGCAAAACATATGGAAAGAAGGGGATCAATTTATACAGAGGGCTGAAGGGGGACTCCCATTGTGCATTAATTAACACTTAATAAATACATCAAAATTAAATACATTACAGAGATAAGAACCTGTAATGATAGACTTTACTTCATGAGAAGCTCCAGAGAAAGCAATGGTAGGGTGAATCCTAGGGAGACCAAAGGGGCTGGTAGAGGGAGCAGACAGAAAACAAGGGTAGAAGCAGAGTCGCTGCAGGATTGACCCAATCTTGTGCCTCTCCCCTGTGGGTGAAAACACTGATCACGATCACTATAGGAGGGAACAATAGAATAGAATACCCAGAAGAATGAATGACTTGAGGACAATTTCCTGAAGGGACCCTTACCCTTCCAGGGGTTTTCTAGCTCCAACAACATTTACGTTTCTATATAGGGTAGTTTGGCACACCAAAATAAAAATCTGCACCTCTTCAATGTGTTTTTGGGCCAATGGAAAAACCAGGTACAATAAATGACTTTGAAAATTGCCTATGAAACTGAGTTAACAAAATAAATGAGCTTATGAACAACCAGAAAATATACTTCTCAAGTGAAAAACTATAAATGGACTTCTTTGTAAAGAAATTGTAAGTTTCCTTACACGAAAAGCCACAAACTGCCTGGAAAGGACAATTAGATTGAATTACTTAGATTCATAGATATTTAGGTCAGAAGGGACCACTTGCTTCTGTGAAATTAAATACCCAGAGAATTGCTGTGCCTGTGATGATGACTGGGGCTTGCTCATCTGTGGCTCCCCCTCCCCGTGCTGTGGAGACACGGTCAGGCAGGCTGCCTCAGGTGCAGCTCCCATTAGCCATGGTGGCCAACGGGTTGGGAGCCTCCCAGCCAATGAGCTTGGGAGGGGAAGACTGTAGTGAGCAGGGGAGGCAGGGGGGAGGGGAGCTGTCTCTGGAGGCACAAAGGGGGGGGCTCTCTGGAGAGGGGGTGATGGGGGCAAAGGGGCAGGTGGGGGGAGTCTTTCAGGGGGCAAACGGTTGTGTGGATCTCTGTGGGGTGGGAGGGAGTGATGGACGGAGCCAGCTGCAGCCCGGGTCTGGTCTGCGGCCGGGGGAGGGTTGCTATAGCCCCCCCAGGAAGCCACCTCAGTACTTAATGCCAGCCCCTGGGTGCCCATCACTGCTCCTCCCCCCCCCCATCTGTCTGTCCCCACAGCTGTGTGTGCCTGTCCCTTTCTGGGCTGGGAGCTGGCTCAGCGACTCTCCGCAGCACGCAGGGATGTGGGGGGAGGGAGGGTGGCTGTCCCCGGGATGAGAGTGCCTCCCGTTGCCAAGCCAGGGTGCGGGGCCTCCCAAAGCACGGGGCCTGGGGCCCAAACATTGGTGGAGCTGGGCCCACCTTCATGAATATTGATGGTGCAGGGGCACCATGCCCATATTACTTGCTGCCTAAACCTGAATAATCACAGATTAGCTATTTTTAATTAGGTACCTCTTTTAACAGTGTAAAGAGATCCATTTTATTTATACATACCAGTTTCAAAGCCACAGTTAATAGACTGTAAGAAAGAAAACAGCATTAAAATAAAACAAACTAAAAGCAGACAGATATACTCTAAAGATAGAAATTCCCTATACTTTTAACATATTAAAATCCCAACTTTAAAGAGACAGCATTAACTTGAAACAAAATCAAACTTCTCCCTGAAAATTATGTACATACTATAGTTACAAGCACTGTCTAAAATTTCTAACACTGAAATAAATTAGAGAATAAAATTATTGCTCTTTTTAAAACACAGGTTGCTGTACTTTAAATAAAAATATCCTGCCAGAAGTATAATCAGGTGAACAGTTTCCCTTGAAGGCTGGTCAACTTCTCCTTGCTGCAAAGACTCAAACATCAACAGAGGAGAAGAAAAATCCATATATGATATTTAAAGATTAATTTTTAAAAATTCATGACATACTATGTAATGTATGGTTTCAGAGTAGCAGCCGTGTTAGTCTGTATTCGCAAGAAGAAAAGGAGTACTTGTGGCACCTTAGAGACTAAAATTTATTTGAGCATGAGCTTTCATGAGCTACAGCTCACTTCATCGGATGCATTCAGTGGAAAATACAGTGGGGAGATTTATATACACAGAGAACATGAAACAATGGGTGTTACCATACACACTGTATGTATTTCCCTCAGAAAATGACAGAAGTGCACCTTTAGGTCGTTGTTTCAACCATTTCTACAAGATTCTAACTCTATAAATATGCTGCTCTGTGTTTGCTAGTTTGCAGAATGAGGATGGACTGATGTAAAAAGCAACATAGCCTTCTTACCTTTTTTTCTTTTTCATTCTGCATTTTACATGTCCTTTTCATAGCAAAGTTGTAGTGCACAATGACATTTTGTGACTAATGACACTTGGACATGACAGACTATCTTCCAGTTTAACAGCACGGACCCAGAAGAGAAGAACCTAAGACTGTGAAATGTTGCCTGCTAGCAAAATGTTTTCACTTCACATTGACACCTTTTAACATGGGGTTGAATGGCATCTAAGCACTGTGCAATAGAGCATCAGAGTCCAAATGAAAACACAACCAACCCACATAAAGCCAGCCAGAACCAAAGAACCTGCCACCTATTTATCTAGCAGAATTTAGGGGATGGTGAGGCCTAAAATTATCTGGAGCCACGTTTCTGAGGTACTGTTGTGCCTGGATGTCTAGGGATTTTGGTGCAATAGGAGCAGCTATTGTAAAAAAAGATATTGGAAGGGATATAAATCCTCATGCTTTGGAGTTTAAACCAATCTCTATGAGGCTGTGGGTTAGGATGAGACCTTCATAGTAAGTATATTATCCAACATCTGCCTACTGCTAGGTTTCTTTCACCTGACTGAAACGTCTGATGCTGGCCATTTTTGGAGATAGGATACTGGTTTTTTGGGGGAGGAACGACTTGACAGTCAGAAGTTACTGAGCAGGAGCACAGCCTGCTCTCATGCCTGTCATACACATATTATACCCTCTCTTTGATAATTCTGCCTCCTCTACCTTCCTTATGACTATCAACAAAAAAACAAAAACAAAAACGAGGAGTACTTGTGTCACCTTAGAGACTAACAAATTTATTTGGACATAAGCTTTCATGGGCTTATGCCCAAATAAATTTGTTAGTCTCTAAGATGCCACAAATACTCCTCGGGGTTTTTTTTTGCTGAAACGGACTAACACCGCTACCACTCTGAAACCTATCAACAGGCATTCTTGGGAAAGCAAATGACAACTCCCTCACTAACCCCCATTAATTTAGGGAAACAAAGAAACTGACTAATAGGGGCTGGAAGCAGACTCTGCAGATTTAAAGCAGTGTTCCACTCAAACAGGGAGGACGGTTACATAGCTGTCACCACCCATTCTGTGACATCCATCCCTTTCTAGTGCACAAAGAATCAGCCACCTTTTGCACAGATTGGAGTGAAAACCTCTTCAACTCCATTTGATGGGAATGGGTAGAAGCAGAAGAGGGGTGGGTTATCCTCCCTCCTTGTATCTTACCGGCCAGCCTTGTCCCCAGGAACCACAGCTACTCAGCACCAAGCTCAGCAGGACACTGGCTGCTAGAGTCATCTCCACTTGCAACTTGGCTGAGATTCCCCTCTGCTCTTCCTGGGACTCTACTCACTACAAATCACTGAAAGCCTAAGCTCGGTATCAAGGGTGTAGAGGCCCCTCCACCTCCCTCACAGCCAATGTATTACTCAAAGCCTTTCCCCTCCCACTCCCCCAGATTTGGCCTGTCAGCGAGTCTGAAAACACCGCAATACAAACCAACCCCTAAAGAGCTTTGGCTCAAAGCCAATACATAAACAGAAGAAGAAATACACTCACTGTAACTTAGAGAAGTCACTTTTACAACACACAAGGAAGGAGTAGCAAAAACAAGGCTCAGAGTAAAACCTGACATCCCCTTCCTGGAATCTTTCCTCTGTGCCTAGCTAAGCTGCAAGATCCCTCCCATTCTGGGGAAGCCTATACAATAGCTGAGGTCATGTAATTAATAAAACAGAATATCTTGCTATATTTTCAGCTTTAACTCTTTGCATGCCTCGTTTTCTGGATTTTAGAGCTGCTCACCATGGACAGCAGTGAAGTGGAGTGCTCAGCAACAAACAGTGATCAAGTCCTTGGACTGAATCCATCCCTGGTGTTACAGGGAAAGAATGGGCTGGTACTCGGTGTTGCTTTTTTGTGAGGCATAAAGAATATGTTTTTTCCCCTCTTTGTTCTTTATGTTAGAAAGTCAGGTCCTGTTTGTGTGATGGGCACTAACATCTGGAGAACTAACACAATAGCGACATCACAGGAACCAAGAGACTGAAACTGACCAATTGAGTGGAGAAGGATTTTTAAGTCTGGCTGCTTGAAAGCTATAGTTTTTGTTTGTTTTTGTTAACCCATATTTAACTATAATAACCAACAAAAAAACCATTTTGGAGCAAGGATGCCTTTGTTAAAGGTTTAACCTCCTCTCTGCCCACCTCTTCAGTTTGGTTTTAGAGCCCACAGTAAACTTTCTAAAACATTTAGAAGGTCCTCCATCAAATCAGGGAAGATCAGACTTGACATTCTTAAGGTAAAAGAACATGCTGAGAAAAAAATAATCCCAAAAGAAAAAAGTGCCAAACTTGGTTTAATTGCAAGTATAGACAAGGACAAACTGTTCAGCATAATTTCAGAAACATACAGGTCTGGGCATGTGGTATACAAACATACAATTCTGATTTATAGACAAATATACTGTGGCAACTTTATCATCTCAGGTCTGTAGATTTTGGTAATCACACAAGGACTGAGTACCACTCTACACACACTTCAGGAATAGCTATATTGCTGTAAGTGGCCTCAATGATCTATGTATAGGTGGAACGAAAACATTAGCTAGTTGGCTCTTTGGTCTGTTCTTTCTAAATTACGTAGCAACAGTAATTTAAAAACAAATATCTTTAGAACATTTTTCAACAATTTGAAAGCCAACAAATTGAACACTGATCAAAGATTTACTTTTAACACAAGATACCATTGTGGCTAGTAACTCAGCAGGATTCAAAAAAGGATTAAATATTTTATATGGAAAATATCCACATTTACATTGGATAGAATAAAATAATGAAATGGGTAGAAAATTTATTGTTTCTGTGCATACACTAGCTGACAGAGCTTCTGAAGAAACGGAACAGGTTATTCCAATACACCTTCCTTCACCTTCTTTTGAATCAAACAGCAACCATTGTCAGAGCCAGGATACTGGCCTAGTTGATTACTGATCTGATTTGGTAAGGCAATTCCTATGTCCTATGTTCCTAACTTACAGGAATGTTAAGGTAGGTTACACATTTGAGGGTAGACTGCTTAACAATATGTTTAAATACATGAAAGAAAAAAAAATCAGTACAAAACATGCTTTTTAATAACTTTGAGTAGTCATCTTTTGAATAGGCCATAATGGTCTCAAGTCAATAGCATTTTTGCCCCTGGGGTTAGAGCAGTTAGCCAATATTCAGCGCCATGCTGGGCTGTTTCTGTTAGCAGGATAAATTGATTATACCAATCAAGTATTTCTTTGGTGCAGTACTGTTTTACAAAGAATTTACACAAAGTTCTGTTTCTCTGAACAGTCATTTGTGTATGCACAATGTGCCCAGCCATTTAATGGCGTCATCATCAGCCAGGTGGAGAGCCAGTAGCCAGCTGTCGAAATAAATAAGTGGGCCCTGGACACTGTCTGAAGTTGACCACAGCTGCATTGCGAGTCATTAGAAAGCCCCCATTTAAAGAGACTAGCTGCACAGTTGCCCTATCCTGTTCAAACTGATTCAGAGATGAACACAGGTGGCTTGGCAGATCAAAACCAGGTAGACAGATGATGGGTCAGTGATGAGAGAGTGATTAATGACTGTCATCACTGACCATTTGTTGCACCAAGCAGATTCCACCATCGTGTCCTTTTTTGATGGCCGCTGCACATTGAGTGGATGTTTTCAGAGAACTATCCACAATGACTCCAAGATCTCTTTCTTGAGTGGGAACAGTTAATTAAACCCCACCCTTTTATATGTATAGTTGGGATTATGTTTTCCAATGTGCATTACTTTGCATTTATCAACAGTGAATTTCATCTGCTATTTTGTTTCCCAGTCACCCAGTTTTGTGAAAGCCTTTTGTAACTCTTCGCACTCTGCTTGGGACTTAGCTATCTTGAATAGTTTTGTATCATCAGCAAATTTTGCCACTTCACTGTTTACCCTTTTTTTCAGATCATTTATGAATATGCTGAATAGGACTGGTCCCAGTACAAACCCCTGAGGGACACCACAATTTACCGCTCTCCATTCTGAAAACTGACCATTTATTCCTACCCTTTGTTTCCTATCTTTTAAGCAGTTACCAATCCATGAGAGGACCTTCCCTCTTATCCCATGACAGCTTGCTTTGCTTAAGAGCCTTTGGTGAGGGACCCTGTCAAAGGCTTTCTGAAAATCTAAGTACACTATATCCA